AGCATGGTAAAAGTGAAATGGGAGAGTGCAGTCCAGAGCATTCAGCTGAAGGCAACTTTTCAGGTTTTTTATGCGTGTGTGTTTTTTCTATTGAAAAAGAGCTTTAGCTAAAAATGTTTTAAGAGGAGGACCAGAGTTACCAACGGTCTGGATGCCTTGAGATGGAGAATCTCTGAAAGCTGTGGTTTTGTATTTTTTTTTATGAATCCCAGATTACAAGTTTTCCCCTGCTTTCAGCTTTAAACTAAGCTGCTCACCTCATGATTACAGCTTCATAGCTCATCCACCTTTTGGCAAAAAAGTGAGTAGCGCTTTATATTACAGTTCTGTAAAAACAGTAATATTTATGTGTTAATAGAAGTAATAATTAAGATTATTACATTGTTGCACTAGTCATTTTGCCTCATTGGTCCTTTTAAATGTCTACATTACTACCATTTGTGGTCTCTTATTACATTAGTAATAACAAGCTGCTACTTGGTTGTTAATTTGGTAATTGCATATTGCATTTACTTAGTTAATGCCTTTTTATTAACAAACTGCTTATCAAACATTAATTCATTATTAACATGTTATTACCAAGCCATTACAGAAAGTGCTACCAGAAAGAAAAAGCTGTATTTCTCAAAGTTATCCATATTTCAAGATTCAAGATTCTCTGTCATTGTGCATGTAGGGGCATTGTTGGGAAGTTACTAAAAGCAGATTAACTAACATTTGGCACTGCATATCTTTGCAAACTACCTCAGTATGTACATGGGTACTGACATTGAGTTTTTTTTGCATATACTGTAGAACATCAAGAACCTTGACATCAAAAATAAAATACCTGAGTGCAGCGACTACTCTCTCCACAGCATCGTGAAGGACACTTTTGAGAGACAGGTCTAAGGATCCAACAGTGACGCGCAGAAGCTCTCCAATCTGCTCCAGGGGCTGTCCATCAGTTGCCATAGTGACTGCTAACTCGCAGACTTTTGACCTCTCAGAACGTGACAAATCGTAAAGTTGACTGTAGGCCCGCAGCTGCTCCTAGAACAGGAACAAAACATGGAAAAAAGTAGCAAAACACAATAATGTTAAAAACAATGATTAAAGACTAAGGTAGTAGATTTAATCTCAACGTACAAGATCACAGTCTTTTTAGGGGCCATAAAATATTAAGACATTAGAGACAAACTAATATTAATGAGATGACAGAAAGAGTTCTTAAGGGGAAAAAAGGCACTGTGAAAAAAGTGCACAAAATTGTCAGAGATCAAGGACATGTGTGTCGTAGGAAGTACAAAATGTATTTAGTTAGGTTCTCAATCATAACCTCTTTTGAAAAACAGAATGTAATAATTTGCAAATTTAAAGCTGGGTAAAAACAAAATATGAAATGTTAAAGCTGAGAAATGTGTTCTTCTTAAGATAAACACTCGGGTCTAAAATGTTAGGATAGGGTCAAAATATTACTGGAAAACTCGCCACCAACACATCTCACAACTGGAACCCTGGCAGTAAAATGATTAATGATTTAAATAAAAATAAACAAAATCAGACAGGCCGTTTCTTTCAGAAGTAAAGATGAGATGACATTCACCACTTTATCAGAGGAACACATCATGCCATAATCTAAAGAGACAACTGAGAAACAAAATACTGACATCAATATCTACAAACAGAGAAAACTTGGAACAGTAGGGAATCTTCCCAGGAGTGGCCGGCCTACCAAAATTACTCAGAGTGCATTGATGACCCATCCAGGAGGTCACAAAAGAACCCAGAACAACATCTGCAACGGAACAACTGCAGGCCTCACTTACATTAGTTAAGGTCAGAGTTCATGACTCTTCATTAAGAAAGAGACTGGGCAAAAACGCGTCCATGGGAGAATTTCAAGACGAAAACTACTGCTGACCGAAAAGAACAGAAAGGCTCGTCTCACAATTACCAAAGAAAAACACATCTATATGAAAATATTCTGTGGACTGATGAGACAACTTTTGGGAGGTTTGAGTCCCGTTACATCTAAAAGTAATACAGCATTTCATTAAAAAAATTACAAAAAAATCAACCCACCAGTCCAACATGGTGGCGATAGTGTTGCCAAGAGTGGCACAACCACTTATTAGGTTTAGGAGTCAATTATTTTTTTCACATACAGTAGGGCAAAGTAGGTTTGGATAACCTTTTTCCTTAATAAGTGAAAATTTTAAAACTGCATTTTGCATTTAATCAGGTATCTATGTCTAATATTAAAGCTTAAGTGTGACAAATATGCAAAAAACTAAGACATCAGAAAGAGGGCAAATGCTTTTTCCTGGCACTGTATATTACCATTTAGACATTTTCAATGTGTGAGTGTCATTATCAGGGTTTTGGCTCTATTAATGCATGGTCACATGCCTCTGGTTGTTACATTTTACACCCCTATCTGACTTTTCAGCTAAACGCTACGAGCACAAATGCCAGAGGATAAGGCTGACAAGGTCTTTGGAGCTGCCTGAAGCTAAAGGTTATTTAATTGCTGGTACTTTCCTCCTTTCACACATGGTGTCCAATACGGGACTGTACTAGCAGTTAGTAAGTGCACCTAATATAAAAAACATACTTCATGAGTTTCAGCATATTGTTTTCACTACTACTTTAATGACCAAATAACTCCTTCAGAATAAGTTTTGAAAAATAATGCACTTCTAAAGATATACATATTTTAATTAGTTGTAAGAAAAACATGAACTTAAACACCTTGCTCCGGTTCTCAAAGTATATGCATGAAAGGATTCAGTAATTACTCTATCCCATCTTGATTTGTTTCATTAATCATTGTTGAACCATGGCCACTTTTCACTATTCATTCCATAAACCTTTTTTTTTACATGGCATATAAAGTAAAAGCACTGCATATTGTTTTAGAGGGATGATTACTGGTCATTCCAGTTCAATATTTACACTAATTAATGAGTAAAAATCTTCAATTAAAATGTGTTCCTCATGTGTCCAATTCCAAACAACATTGTAAACACTTTCAGGGTCAGTGACATACAACAAGTCAGCACTAGAAAAAATTCAGGTCCAGAGAGCAAGAAGGAAACTTCAGCCCAGGCAGCTGCAGAAGTCATAAATGCGATTAAATTTCATGCATAAAAGATGGATTTGGTGTGCGTTTGCTGCAATGCTGTCATGTTCCCCAGGGAACCTTCCAACATTCAGTCTAATCACAAACCCTTCAGTGCCTGTTGCAGCTGCAGTAGAATTGAGCTCAAGCCGTTGAAAGACCCTCCTCCTAAACTAAGGTCGCTTTTTGATACAAACTCTCAGCAGGAAGCTACATCCAGACAGTTCAGTCGCAGTATCAGGAAATGTGATGTCTGTGCTTTCTGTGTCTCGTGTGTCTTTTCCAAATCCACCATTAAAATACCACTTGGAAATCGTCCAAATCCATAAGCTATTTTAACAGTGAAGGTGTTTGGCACATGTTCAAACAGATTCAACAAGGTGCTGGAAACACTCCTCAGAGATTCTGGTTCACATCGACATGACAGCAACACATATTGGCTGCAGATATGTCAGCTGCACATCAATAATGTGAGTCTCCCATTCTATCATGCCCCAAAGGATTGAGATATGGTGTGAACTGCAATCTGCTGTGCGTCTGAAATGAACTTAATGTCATGTTCAAGAAAACAGTTTGACATGATTTGGGCTTCTGTGACATGGTGAGTTATCCTACTGGAAGAAGCTATTAGAAGATGGGTTCATTATGGTCACAAAGTGTTGAACATGAGTCAGCTAATCAGGCTCATTGTGGTGTATAAACGACATTCCTATTGTTTACATTAAATTGGACTTCTACTATCTCAATGTTGCTACCTGACAACGTGAGCTTGTGTGAACTGTTGCCCATCTTTAACCGATGACTGTGGGTTCAACATGCTCTGCATACCTTTGTTCTAACTGTCCCTATCAGCTCAAAGCAGTCTGGCAATTCTCCTGTGACCTCTGACATCAACAGTGCATTTTCACCCAATAAACTGCCGCTCACTGGATTTTCTCCTTTTTGGCTCACTCTCTGTAAACCCTGGAAATGGTTTTGCAGTATAACCCTAATAGATCAGATGTTTTTGAAACAGACTAGACTGTCTGCCACCAATAATGATGCCATGTGGAAAGTCACTTAGATTATCATTCTTCCTCATTCTGATTTTCAGTTTAAACCTCAGCAGGTCGTCTTGACCCTGTCTTCATACCTATATGCCCTTAGGTATTGCTCTGTGATTGGCATATTTGCCCTAATGTGCAGTTGAACAGGTGTACCGAACAAATCTGCTGGTAAGTATTCAGGTTACTCAAATACATACATTCCTTATGTTGACATCATATTTATGCTAGGAATATCAAATATGCATGATATTTTCTCTGTACATTAAATTTCAAAGCATAATATCATATAAAGCCTGAAGAGTGTCTTGTTGTGTAACATCTCTTTTGTGGATATCCTTTTAGTTTCACGGATGTGTTCTGCAGCACTCAGTGCCAAGAGCCAGACCACGAATGCCTGTCAGAAAAAATTAGCACTTTAAGTAAAGCACCAGTTAGAGGAAATGGACATGATGATGACATGATGAGTGTGTCATGAAACTAAGCTCTCTATTCATTGCTCTCTGTTCCAATCCTTAGCTATGATCACAAGAGAGTTTAAGGACAAAGAAAGTAGCGGGTATGAGGCTCCTCCAAAGAGTAGCAGCTAGGGGGAAAAAAGGCATGTAATAGGGATTCCCATTTCACCTGGAGGAAATGGGGGACGCTGGTAGGATAATGGAGATCTTAGCCACTCTGTGTATCATTGTGCAGCCTCAGTGCGTGGATGAAAAAAAAAGGCTATTGTTAATTTTGTTAATATTACATACTACTCTAAAGTGTAACTATCAAGGACATGGTTTTCATAGCCCACAGTATGTGATTCACCACATCAAAAGGAATATGGAACATAGAAAGGAATAGCCCTGCTGCTACAGAGACAAATCACACGATCTGTTGTTATTATTTTCTTTGCTGTTTTTCTCACAATTGCTTGAGTTAATAGTTTAAAAATCACTATTTACAATATCAAGAACATGCCATTTGATGTCCTTATTGTAGGTCAAGGCCTCTGTGTTTTGATTCTTTGTGTTAGAAAGGTTTAACAATATTTCTAGCAGCTGGTCACGTACACTTGATAAACGACCACAGTATAGCCAAACAGAGCCTACAGAGCTTCTTGTATCTATCTCTCCCTACCTATCTGCCCTTTTCTGGTTCTTATATCCCTTATTTTAATACATCTCCAAGGATACAATCACATCCTCCACCAAAAAAAGGAAAGTTATATTATAGAGGATGCAGTGTCTGTGTGTGTGCTTGTGTATGTGTGTGTGTGCCCATGTATGCATCAGTGACTCTGCCCTAAAGCTCTGCCTGGTAATTCTTGTGTCTTCCACTCTATTATGGAGGGTATGTGCTTTTAAACACAGTTAAAACTGGGACAAAATATTATTAACTTGCACAGTGTGGGGGTCAGAAATCACCAGTTTTCAATGATATCTTGTCGCATAGCAACACTTAGCTCGCCAAGTTATAATGTCCCCTCTCTCTAGCCCCACATTCAGATTGTGTATACACACACAGGCAGCCACAGTGAGGTGACAGTGGGGTAAGTCAGTGTGACTTTGCTTAATGAGATACAGCATGGTGCTTGTACCGTATATACGTCCATACGGCGGGGCTCATTTGAAACAGCAGACCACAGATTTACATTAATATACCCTTGACTGGCCCCTCTGAGGCTGGGAAGAGCTTAGCCGAGCAGAACCACCCCCAAAATATACAACACACATACCCACACATATCCACACATAGACACAAGCTTTACAAGTACTGTATATGCAGGCACCATTTGTATGTACAGCCAAAAGTGACCTTATGAACTGGCAAAGAAGTAAGAAGTGAGAGTCAAATGTCTTCTTCACTTTAGGGCCTATTAAACTTACCGTTCCATAGGCAATTGCATTTGTGTGGGGATTGCATTTATTCACTGATTTTGCTTCCAAGGAGCCAGAAATACACCGAGCTCAAGGGATGAAACGATGTTGTGTCTACTAATAACAGACAGCTTTAAAAAAACTCATTTAAAACTTATTTTTAGACACTTTGTTACTAGCAGCCTGTTGCAGAAACATAATTTGTTCTCATTTCTTTAGCTGAGTCTATGAAAAATGCCAAAGATAACAAAGTTTGACAGGCATAAAATAGGCTTTTTGTTCAAATAAATTACAAGAAAGCTTGTCTGAAAGAGTTCAAGCTGTGTTGAAGAATAAAGGTGGTCGCACCAAATATTGACTTTAAGGCTGTTAGAATGGTACAAACTCTTCTTATATACTGCTTTTGCATTAATGGTTGCACATTTCAAGAAATCGCTAATTTTACCAAAATATAAAGAGATGAGAGGTGGCTCAAGACTTTTGCACAGCACTATGAATGTAAGGTTTACAATATGAAGACTTCTGAATTGAGTTTATACATGGATGATGCTGATCAGCTGATCAGTTAAAAGCAGAAGTTAGAAGCAACTGAAGAATTTGCTCTTTTAGCAATAATGATTCTTTTATATATACACAGTACACACAAAAACATAAATAATGATATTAATAATCCATCCACACAAACAAGCTAGCTTTATTTTGGAACCATTTTTGTGTGACTAGCCACATGCCTCATTTCTTTGAAAAGTAGATCAGCTCATGTGTTTTTGATTTTTGCATCATTTTTTATGCAAATTCTTTGAGTTTCTTTGTGTTTCCCATGAAAACAAACTGGGTTTGGCTGGATAATAGTTGTAATTATTTACCACTTAAGTTTGTGGATTAGAATGATTGCACGATACATTGTCCTGCGTGCTAAAGAATAATTCTGTCCCCGATTTAATTAACCAGCTGGCAAATATCGCACTTAAACTTTGTGTGTTCTTGCAATGGATCATTAAAAGCACATTTACACAAAGAGCAAATCTCACTCTCCGAAAAAGAATAAAATGGCTCAAGTGTTTGGCAGATGGGGCTTACCTCCTGGCTGTCTTTGAGTGACAGAATGAAGGGATGACTCAGAGTGTCCAGGTGGGCCTGAGATTGCTGCAGGTGTGCTAGAGCCTCATCAAAAGTCATTCCTGCAGGGTCCGTCCCTTCCTGCTCCCTACTGTCATCACCTCCTCTCTTCCTGTTCTTCTCACCCAGCTGGCGCAGGGCTTTGGTGGCTCGCTTTATCACCTCCAACCTCGCTTGGATGCTCAACTGGACATGAAATGGATGGAAGAAAGAGAATGGGAGAGAGGTGGAAGTTGGGGAGGCATGGAATTGAGCAAAGAGAAGCAGAGAGAGAGGTGCTCAAGTTATATACTCGTAAATTCATTTAAAATGGACCGAGTTAAAGAGAGGTAGGTACAACCTAATCTATCTGCATTTCAATACTATCAGGAACTTGAGTAGCATGTGCATGTGTATAAGGAGTGTGTGTTTGAGTGAGAGGGATCATAGCTGCCAGCCTGGAGTAATTGATTTTATTCAGACTGAACAGGTTAACCATTCATGGGGAGAAGAGTGGGCCTCGGGCTGCAGGAGGTTTTTATGCTTGAACAGAAACGCACAAACTTAGACCCCGACAAGACACACACACATTCTCACTTTCAACATGTGCTACGTACACCCCATTTTGAATTTGCTGTAATCTTCACCGAGATCGTCAGAACATTTCTCTGGCAAGTAAGACGCTCATTTAAATTGAGTTTATTTAGTAATAATAATAATAATGGATTGCATTTATATAGCGCTTTTCGGGGCCCTCAAAGTGCTTTTTACAATCCAACTATTCAGTCACTCTCACATTCACACACTGGTGGAGGCAAGCTACAGTTGTAGCCACAGCTGCCCTGGGGCAGGCTGCCATATCGCGCCATCGGCCCCTCTGGCCCTCACCAGTAGGCGGCAGGTGAAGTGTCTTGCCCAAGGACACAACGACCGAGACTGTCCGGGGCTCGAACCGGCAACCGTCCGGTTACAAGACGAACTGCCAACTCTTTGAGCCACGATCATCCTTTGTACTGTTTGTATTTGTACAAATGTGTTATGAAGTGTGTATCCTACTGAATCAAATCCTGGTATTCAGAGTCAACATCAGTCAGAGTCTCGGGTAAGGTTAGAAAAGAAGTTAGAAGTTGAGTAAGATGGGATGCATCCACCAAAGAGGTTAGCTGAGATCAATAATCTGTTTCCCTTCAGAAAAAAATGTCCAATGGGAAGTTTCGGCCCGAGACATGCATTTCAATCCTTGGCCTTGTAGGAAATTAATCAACGATGGCAACGGTGAATCAATTCATCATTGCCACCCAATGGTCAAAAGGTCGAAAACATTCCTAAATGTGAGAAGGGACTCGATTTTCCCTTTGCACGTCCGAGGAGGACAGAAGAAAGAGAAGAGAGGGATGGTAATGGCAGAAGGAGCGGACGGTGTCTTCCTGAGAGGTAATTTGCATGTTAAAGAACACAAAGGGAAAACACTGCATGCTGGGAATTGGAGTTTAATTGGCTCTGAAGTCAAGAGGGATCAATTAGCTCTCTTGGAGTGGTAAGGAAAGAGAAGGGACACAGGACAAAAATAGAAAAAAAAGGGAAGGTCTGGAGAAGGGTGTTGGCAGGGTGCCAGGGCGAAGAAAAAAAAGAACAGCAGGCTACTATTGATAAGGTGCACTGAGGCGCTTTAAGTCTACTGCAGGACAATTTTTCACAGTCCTGTAATTATGTGGCTGACATTCCTTGTGAAATTTTATAATTTCTTTTATAAATCATGACTGGTATGTGCTTTGAGGCTGCAGAAAGTGGATGGGAACAGAATAATGTATTTGAAATTAGGAGAGGGCTTTTGGCATTCCAGAAATTGGGCCACAGGCATTAGAGAAGACCGGCACGACAATGATGAGTGTGGAGTGAGGAAAATGACAGTTTGATGTAGGGAGTGAAAATCCCCGCAATCTTCCCTTTAACCAAATACGAATCCTGCCTTTGCGGCAGAAACAAACCTTCTGTGCTGCAATTAACCAGAGTCTGTCTACCCATCACAGCTCCTACCTGAGAAAGTAATAGAAAATAGATCTCTTCCGCTCAAACGACCCCCGCCCCCGTCATAGAATAATTTCTGTGAAAAAATGCCCCTCTGTTTGGTCCAATTAAGGCTTACGTTTTTAGATGCATCACGAGAGAAGGTGATGTTATCCAGGAAGCGGACAGCGTCGCCAGGGGCCAGCCTGTCCAGGTATTTGGCACAAGTGTCATAAGCGTGTAGGTAGTCTTGGTCGCTCTGAGGGGGTCTCTTCAGCAGCTGGGGGTCCCCTCTCCAGAACACCTTCTGCAGCCATACTGCGTGGACTGCACTGGCGGACACCGTGGCCCCACCACCACCGCCGGGCAAAGGCAAACGATTGGCAAGTTTGGAGATGGACAACACGTTCTGACTGGTCAGCACTGGTTGCAGAGTGGCCAGTGGATCCGAGGATTCATCCGTGAGCTTCCGATAGTTCAAACCTGCAAGCGTGAAAGACATATTACACGTTTACAACGCTTCCACCTTAAAAAAACGTGTTTGCCTCTTCACTGAAGCCTCGAGCTATATGATCAAAAAAAGAACAAGTATACTTGGATGCTCCTCTCTTGTCCTTGTGTACTGGGATCTTTGACACTCCTTTGTATGTCTCAATTATGGAAGGTAGATGTTGAACACTTACAAAAAGCTGTAGTAGCTTTACATTAGCTTTATGTTTAGCTCAAGGTACTTTAAACATGGCATAACAAAGGTCCTTTTACTGCTACAACTTCAAGATCAATAATGGGAATTGTAAAAAGAGTATTTACATATGAACAATAAGCATGTTTGTTCTCCACGGCAGAGTATAACAGTTGCATTGTGTCGGAAGGGGAACACAATGTACCATTTTTATAGCGTGCATACAGTGCATGCTTATGTATTACTATTCTTTCTGTTTTCTGCGACAACCAAGCAGACGAGAGATTTGCACAGGACGTTGAATATTCCATCACATGACAGAAAAGCATCAGGAGATGAAAAGCATCTCAGGAAAGAGTAAACAGCGGATGTGAACAACAAGGATTGCGTGTGACCTGCGTGTGAAAGGGGTGCCGGCCGTCTCTGCCTGCATGCAAACATGTACAGTTTGACTGTCAAACTGTCTGCGTGCATCATATTTACCACTGCAGCACCCCCGGAGTAGGCATTTGTGTGTGTGTGTATGAGAGAGAGCGAGAGAGCCGGTGGTGTGCTCTTGGTCTCCAGCGCTATCAGACAGACGCATTACTGTAGCAACGCCATGGCCTGTCTGGGCTTTAAATATTTTAACACGGGTCTGCCTGTGGGGAGGGTTCTGTCAATGCTGCTTGAAATCATTCACACAATTGCAAGCATACACGCACACACACAAAACTTTCCAGGTTGAACCCACATACACAAACACACACACACACCTCCCAGACAGGCCCAGACAGACATGTAAACCGCAGATACTTACATATGTACTCTTTCCCTCCGGCTTCACCTGCCCCACCCACTCCTCATATTGCCTCTCTTTCCCCCTTTCCACTAGAGCCCGCTCAGACGGTCACCCGGTACTGTGTCTGAAAATGTGATGAGCACTCGACACACGCCACCTGTCTTCAACTCCTCTGAAAGCCTCTGTAAGTACATCTGGGCAGGCTAGTTTGCATGTGTCTGTTCGGGACTGCAAATGAGTCATTTTGAATGAGCATGTCAGAAGAGTTGGAAAGTGTTGGTAGAAAGTTAGAGGCCCCAGAGACACGGCAACAGCCTGTGTATCAGTTTTGCTGCAGGAAGTGTGAATACGTGGGTTATGTTTCAACAGTATGTGTGTGCATGTGTGTGAATGAGTGAGTGAGAGCGAGACATACAGTACAGAAAGTGTTAGCGTGAAAGTGTTAACGTCACAAAGTCACTATATGCACTTGTGCATGCATATAAAGTAAATCCGGCTTAGCGTGTATATGCGTGTGCATTAATCTATTAGTACTCACGATGCTGCAACTCCTGGTAGCTTATGTGGTGCAATAAAGCATGGACTTTGGTTCTCCCCATGGCTAAACGGCATTCATGCAACTGTCAGCACCTATGCTGCCTGTTTAAAACTAGTGCATTCATTTTCTTTTATTTTCTGTGTTTTTAAGCGGGTTTAGGGCAACATTAGCAGCTCTACCCATGCTTCCCTGAAATCAAGACGTTATTCTGCATTCTGTATAAAAGATTTCTTAAAAACAGAATACTGTGCAAAAGCCTTGAGTCACCTTTCGATTCTTTATATTTTACTAGACAAATGGGAAATACGGGCCGAAATTTATTGACATGTGGCAAAATTTATGCAAATATCGTAAATAAGGCTAAAACAGTGTTTGTGCAATTCTCTTGAGCTTGAAAGCCAATATTGGGTAAGACCACCTTTATTCAACACAGCCTGAACTCTTTTAAGTAAGCTTTCTTGTCATTTATGGAAGTAGTCTTTAGGATTAATTCTCCGGGCTTCTTGAAGGACATTCCAAAGACTGCCTTCTTGTGTAATTTGAACCTTCTCTCCCAGTTTCCCTTTCCCAAAGTTGAGTCCACTGAAACCAATTCACTCATCGGACATTACTTTGAAGGTGACATCCGGTCGACATGCAAGGCTCCGGCTACCTAGGTAACCTCTTAATGTACTTACTACCGGTTCATGTTTCAATCAATAGTACTCATGAATCTCATTGGTAGCCGCTTCAGTCACTTGCTTGGCAGTTTATTATCAGGTCCTGTGCTGAGCTCGCCCGCGGTTATTTTGCCTGTGGCCATGTGAAGTCACTCACCGTTATTTATTTTCTATGGTGTCTCATCGTCACGCCACATCTAGCATATGAAACCAGCTGGTTTTTGTGACAGGCTGCTAGTAACAAGTTCTCCAAAATTGAAGGTACAATTTAAAATAGTTTCTTTGCCAAGTTTTTCGTTATGTGTAGGCACAACCCTGCTTCATCCCTTCAGTTAGGCCTTTTCTGGTTTCATAGGTCAATGTTAAGTGGCTAAACAAATAAAAAGCATTCCTCTGGAAATGCTCATGTACAAGGACTGGGCTTAAAATGAGTGATATAGTAGGCAGTGTCCAAAGTATAAATCTGAAAGACCTTCAGAAAGCCTGAAGAACTATTGCTCACAAGCAGTTTAAAAAATTACAAGAAAGTCTGGCTAGTGGGGAGAAAAATATAAAAAAGAAGTACTCTAGGAGCAGAGCGCAAACCTCCACCAAGGCAGGACTACAAAGTTGGTAGAAGTTTGTAGTTCAGTAAAAATCAGATAAGGGTAGCATTACAGATGTTGACTCTAATCATAAAAACATTATGTTGGAGTAGGTAACAGATAAGAGGACTTGATTTGTTAATAACAATATTAACTTGGGGGTATTATATAATATTATACTACAGTATATTTCTAACTTCCTCTTGACAATGCTTTAATTTGAATACTTTTAGTGTAAGGTCAACTTGAAAGAAAGGCAGATGTGAAATGTAAAAATACGGCCAGAGGTCAAATGTGACATATTTGCATACAAACTATAAGAAATATTAGATATTTAGAATACCAATATAATAGTATCATTCCCTAAATATTGGCATTACAAAAAAGGTATTACAATTTTTACTAGTTTTAATGATAAAAGGCATTTTATGAAGATCTGACCTTATTTGACCTTGAAGTAGAGGCCAGAGGTCCAAATTGACATCAGATTTACAATTTACTTAGTGTACTGACAACATTTACTATATGCGGTCAGTAGACCAGTGGCAGTAAGAAACAGTTTTAAATAGCTCTATAAAGCTTCATTATAACCTCCTCAGTGGAGGTAATCAAAAAGGAATTAAGGCTCAAGAGTTTTGTACAACACTGTAAAAATAAATGTAGGCTTAACAATGTAAAATTGCCTTGAGTTCATATTGTTCTGTCTATTGACTAACTGGTCTTCTGTTCATCTTCTACACGGATCATCAACTGCTGAGGAACCTTTTGCCCCGACGATGCAGTTTGAGCCTCATCTTGCTTTGTTTACATGGTTTATGTCTCTCCTGTGAAGAGCTGGGCTTATATTTGGATTGTTTCATAAAAGGTCCCATTCAGACCACCTGCACATGTGATTTCCTTATACATCTCTAACTTCAGCCTAGAACAACAGTTCTTTGAGTGGTAAACCTTCAGCCGCTGTCATTGTGAGTTGCATATAAGCGATAGAAGCACAAACGGGAGAAAACAGCGAGATGCTAATATAGTGATGTGGCAGTAATTGTGCATTAGTGAAACTGAAAAGCAGCAGTGGGAGTTAGTGCCTTTAAAGTTAATTTCATTTTTCTTACTTTATGTAAAACTGCATCCCGGTCTTGATGTGGATGTCTCAGTGTTGTGTGTGTACGTGATTTGGGCATGTGTGGTTCAGTGTGTTAAACAGAGACATGTGTCACCAGTAAAAGCTGTGGCGCTATCAGGAGCAGAAGGAGGAAGTGAGGCGTGAAAACACAGCTGACACCTGGCTGACCTTTACTGAACTTTTCCAAGAAGTGACACCAGCTTCACCCGTACGCAACAAAGTTTGAGCACTCTAGCCTGGAGCGCTGAACCAGTGACATGATGTCCTGGGAGAGGACCGAGTGCAATGCTTTCTCTCAGACCCTTGGTATATCAATAGGATTGATGCTGAATTGCTTTCTTTTTCACTTCACAGCCATATCATTATAGTTTTGCATGGTTCAACCCTGCTACTCTTCATCTTTGAAAACATCTACATGAGCTAATAGGGAAAAAAGGAAGCAGAATAAGATCAAAGGGCAAGATGAATCAGACATAAAGGATAATATGTGTAACTGGCACTATCAGGATGTCATCGGAGGTGTTTTATTTGTTCTTCCCAGTGAAATGTTAGCGACTAGCTTTATTCAGACAGTCAGTTGTTGTTTTTGTAAAATTCCACCTGACAACCGCTGACCAGAAGCAATGTCAGCATCTGTGTGTGAGTCATCAGTCATGTCGAGACAGATTGTCTTCAAGTCTGGACTTTTACTTCCTGACAGCACAGGCCAGAGGTGTTTTTTCCCCCACCAGTAACAGGTGCACTATCCCTATGAATTTGTTTTTTTGTTGCGTTTCACTCTTCAGAAACTGCATTCTTCAGTAAATGAGGGCTATTATTTAGTCTGCAAATAGAAATGGCAGCACTCTGTTTTTCTAGAGTATACGCCTGTTTGCCGAATGCAAAATGACTTCCCTCATGATTTCACACAAAATGCTTTTTAAATAACTGGAATTATACAAAAATTTAAAAGCAAGAAATGTTGCCATGATTTTTTTGTCTGGTTCATTTTGTTTTGGGTTTTAATTTTCAGTAGTGACAACCTGTCAAAGAATCTAGCATTCCTTGTAGGACTGGATAATTGCCTGACATGGGAGGGTCATCAACCCGTGTACACTCTCACCTGGGACCTCCCGTCTAAAAATACTGGCCCACAGACTCACTTTGTATTCTATTCTCTGTGCCTGGCATCAGCTATTTGCATTTGCAACTTCAATAACTTACTACTTACTAAAAAAAACATAGCAATTCATTACGAGGTCTTATATTAGGTAAATACAACCCCAGATTAACCAAAACACATGATATATTGCACCACATCATTATCGTTTTATCAAAAACTAAGACACAATGCACAAGCATTGTGTGAAAAGCTAAACACGCCTTTACTGCTGTCACAGGTAATGGAGCATTGAGGTGTATGTTAACAAAAGGCCATGGAGGAAAGACATCAGCAATATCATCAGAGAAGCAAATGCTGCTGCTGATCGGGGTTATAAGGCCATTTCCAAACAATTTGAAGTTCATCATTCTAAAGCGAATGCATTCACAGCTGACAATCTTCCCATGGGTGGACATTTCAGCAAATTCACCCAAGGTCAGACAGTGCAATACTCAATGAAAATGAAAAACCCAAGATCTACATCTCAAACTCCCTGGGCCTCAGTTAGCATGTAAAATGTTAAAGCTTATGGCAGTACAGTTAAAAAAAAAAAGAAAGAAAGAAAAAGCCAAACAAGGCTTGCTTGGAAGGGTTGCCAGGAGAAAGCCTCTTCTGCCTAAAAACAACATGGAAACATGGCTCAGGTTTACAAAGCTACATCAGAACAAACCACAAGCTTGTGGAATAATGACCCTCGCTCGCGCTCAGTGTGTACGTAAATCACGAGTAAGAACATTTCAATGATTTCTCAGAATGTCTCTGACCATGCAGACAAACAAATGAAGGTCTGGCTGTCTTAGGATGTCTAAAACCAAGTATTTAAAATGAATACTACCCTTAGCAGTACTACTAATATCACTAATACCATCATCATCATTATCATCATTATCATCCTAATTTTCATTATTATGATTATTACTACAAGTATTAGCAGTAGTATTATGATCATTATTAGTAGTAGTAGTCGTCATATTTGGTCATTATTTACAGTTTTCCAAAACACAATAAGCCAAAATTACAGTTAAATAAGAAAAATTAAAAATGAAACTGCATGTAAAGAAAGCAAAATACTAAATGGGAGGCTGTAAATTTTAACATTTTAAGTTAAATATATGTATGTGTATAAAATATCTCTTTTTTTTCTTAAATTATCTTCATTAAAAATTATTTATATTATTGTGAAATGTCACCATTCGCATTATCCTGCTATTAGCTGGAGAATCTGGATTTCTTTTCTTTCTTTATATTTCATTGCAGTGAGTTTCTCCTCTAGAGCTGACGGATCACATGTTCCTTGTCCTTTGCCTACTTTCTTTTTTTTTTTCTTGCAGTCTGTTAGTACTTTTTCACATCATCTTTCATGTCCAAACTTTTCTTTTTCACTTGAGCCACAGTGAATGTCCCCGGGGAAACAACATTCAGAACCTCCATTATTTCAACCGGAGTCTTGCTGCGGTGGGACTTTAAGAGAGCTGTCCATAAATGAGTGCCTGCAAGCCTCGATGAACTGAAGCCACACTGTAAAGAAGAATGGGCTAAAATTCCTCCACGACAATGTGAGATACTAATAAAGTCATACAAAAAATGATTACTTCAAGTTATTACTGCTTAAGGTGCTTCTACAAGCTAGGGAATCATGGGAGGTACTCCGTTCCTCACACACTGCTTCTGTATATTGGCTTAGGTTTTGTTAAATAATGACATTTTTTTAAAACCATAACTACATCTTTTCATTGCCAATATTGCTGACACTGCAGGCTTCCAGACTTCATTGCTGTTTTATTTGTTTTATAATAATAAATTCCATTTGAATTAATCAGATTTATTGCTTGAACTTCATATCTATCATTTTCCTGGCACAGGGTTGTAAAACAGTAATGGCATGCTTAGTACTAAATAAATCCGACTAACTGTTATAGATTAAAATGTATTTTAAAGTGGGTCAGGGGTCCCTGTGTCCTTACAGTGACTGGTCTGTCTTAGACCAACGTGGTGTTAGTGGAGCTCCTGTGATTGGTCATGCAAGAAGTCGCTTCCCCTTTATAAGATCCCCCACTTGGTTTTCAGAGAACCGTGATTATGTCAGTAACAAAACGTTTTAGCTGCGGGATTTGTCAGAACAACAATCAAAACACCAGTTATGAACTACATATACTATATAATCACAATAAAAAACAGTGTACACCTCACCGTTGGCAACAGCGCGAAGCTTCTTGAGCAGTTTAACATGAGAGTCTGGCTTAATGGTGGTGGTGACGTAAGGCTCACAGCCCGCAGCATCTAGTAAGGTGTAGTAGTAGAGCAGGCGGTTGAGGTCGGTTCCTTCCACAGTGGGAAGAACATACTTCGCCATGTGGCTGTAAAAGGCCTGAGGGTTACACTTTAAAGTCTCAAACAAGCTGAGGGATTCGCTCCGGGTTTCAATATCCTTGGTGGAGAGGCTGTGGAAGAGAAAATGGGAATGGAATAAGAAAAACAGGAAAAATGTGCAGAAAATGAAATGAAAATATAATTTTATATAGCTGGATTTGTAGTAAACACACAACAATAGCCTGGCCTACTAGCAGTTTAAAGCTTTTACATATGTGGTTGTAAAAACCTGCTGTTTGTAATGGCTTCACAAAAAAATATCTATTGGTACGCAGTGTGTGAACACTTGAAGTTTCAGGCATCAGAAAGATCTGAGCCTTTCATATAGACAGCAATAGCCACTATGCCTGAAAGAGATGAGAGAAAAAAACACAGCTAACCAAAAAAAAGAAAAACCCACACATTTCATCAACAGAAAATCAAAGAGAAGACTACCAGCAATGGAGACTATTTGGCTCCAAAGTCATTTCTGAAAACAGTAGCGCTAAAAACAGTGGTGCAAAAACACAAGAGCAATCTGCAGGCTTATCACAAAGCATACAGTCCCTCCAACAACAACAAAAAAAATAAATTTAAAAAAAGATTTCATAGACCACACTGAGAATACATTTAATAAGCTGATCAGTTCAGACATAAATAAGGTAAAGTGGGGAGATGCTATGACAAAGAGAAGACAGAGACAAAGAGAGAAAGAAAGCAATAGCGGGGAACGTGTTAGTTGATGTGAGGGGAGATATCCGAGCTCCCAGGGAAGGAAATAATGTATCCAGTGAGCTTTTTAGGTTGCACAAGACGTGTGCACATCCTTGCTAAGCGTGTTTTGTTGCAAATCTCAGTCAAGATCAGCAGGTGGTCTAAAGAGCAAAAGAAAAAGTGAAAAGAACAGAAGCAAAAACACTGGAAAGAGGATGACACACAAAAAAAACTTGGAGAACCACAAACAAAAGTTAAGCAGGGAGCGATACAAAGAATGAAAAGGCAAAGGCGAAGTAAAGCTAGTTGCTTGAAGTCACCGAGGGGCTCCGAGCAATCTGTGGCTTCATGGGAGTGCGTTTGTGTGAGTGGAAGTCTGTTTATCTGTCAGAACGGGACAACATCAAAGGGAACAATGCTTCCTCTGGGCTCTCTGTCAGGCTTTCGCTAATGAAAAAAATATAGAGCCTGGCTGCGGCGCGGCAGCTGACAATAAGCTCGATAATGTAAATAACACTAATCATCCTCACAACAGGGGCTCTAATAAGGCTGGAGTCAACAGAACGACTAACTTAAAGTGAAGTCTCCCTCGCTCGCTCTTCCTCTCGTCTCCCTCTTAAGCGTACGCAGGCGGCCCGTCACCCCAATCAAAGTCTGATGTTTCACTAGTTAATCACGCTAGCTCCAATGTGACTAAAAACACTGGGACGCGAGAAGAATTGCAAGAGAGATTGCGACTTATCCAGCCAGGACTTTTTTTGAGGGGCATTATGAGCAACTGCACAAAGGCACAGAAGCTGGCAGAGAGTGCTCAGTTTTCATGCCAAGCTCTGCTTTGTTATCTCCTCCCTGCCCCTCTATTCTTTCAAGTGACAAAAGGTGTTCACTGCATCTTTGCTCACATTAGGAGCATATCTTCTTCTCAGTATCCACAGCTGGCAGCGTGTTTTCGGTCAACATATATAGAGCCTGATAGCTTTATTAAAAGTTTGCTGCGTAGTGGCTTACCTACTGCCGTTTGCTTGGTGGCATTTCGCTCCTCACACAACACAATTTGCTACTTTCTCTTGGTTGTGGTTATTTCTCTGTGATATCCGGAGCTTCACATTGAAGTCTTCTCTTGTTTGTTATAAAACTCTGCTGAAGTAAAGAGCCAATTTGTCCAGGGGAGAATAACAGTTAGGTCCATAAATTGCTGGATGAAGTCAGCTTTGTACACCACCACAGTGGATTTTAAAATCAGTCGATATTATGATTGAAGCGCAGACTTTCAGCTTTGATTCAGGGGGGTTTCAAAAATTACAGACATTTGTAGACCCTTCCCCATTTCAGAGGCTCAAAATTAATAGATAAGCACAACAGAATTTAAAACAAAAGGTTATTCTTTATACTTAGTCGATGATCGCCTGAAGTCTTGAATCCATGGATACCAAATGCTGTTTCCTCCTTTTACTTTCTTTTACTGCAGCCACCTTCAGTTACTGCTTGTTTCTGAGTCTTTCTAAATTTTGCATTTTATTTTAATAACATAATTCAATAAATATACTCTGTTGGGTTGAGATTAACTTGACCATTAAAATGGTAAATAGTAAATGGACTAGTTCAAATATGGCGCTTCCTACTCTGCTTGAGCACTCAAAGTATTTTCTGCTACAGGCCTCATTCACCTATTTGCACACATTCATACAAGCATTTTTCTTCTATGTGTTGTCTACCTAACATTCACACTCCAATGAACACGCCGGGAACAACTTGGGGTTTAGTTGCCCAACAGTACTTTGGCATGCAAACTGGAGCAGCCAAGAATAAAACCTGCTCTACCTTCTGAACCACAGCCAACCCAAAAAATAGAAGAATATCCCATTTCTTTACTGGTGTAAAACTGGTGACCTAGTTCCACTGACAGCCGCATATTTCCATTCTATAACATTACCTCCACCATGTTTGACAGATGATGTGATATACTTCACATCCTGAGCTGTTTCTCGTACAAGTTCATCTTGGTTTCATCTCTCCAGTGAGTTTTTTTCTCCCAGAATTGTGCGTGCAGTTTTAGATGTTCTCTGGCAAGGTCTAATCTGGCCCTCCTGATTTTGAGTGGACCCACTGGTTTTTACCTGTTTGTAATCCCATTCATGACAATGATAGTCGTACCTCCTCAGGGGTTCTTGACTTGATTAGATCTTGTGAAGATGGTTTTTTTTTCCACCAGAAACTAATTCTGTCTGCATGTATTTTAGCTGAAATTTAAGTGGAAGTTTTGTGTCATCATCTACCACCATCATTTGGCATTGCCGAGCTTCTGAAGTTCATCTGAATGATGGCTTCCCTCATTTGGACTGACATCTTTTTGGGGTCTCATATTTAAAAATTACAATGAAGAAAAAATACAAAAAATACAAATTCAACACCTTGAATCCACTTCAAATATTATGTCTGCTTCATTTGTCATAAAATAAAAAGTTAACATGTCTCACATTGCAATTTCTAATAATTTTTAGCCTTTGGACAAAAAAAAAAAGCCTCTGAAAATGGGAAACTTTGCATACAAATGCCTGTAATTCCTAAACAATTAATGTAAATGTTGTAAAAGCCTTTGAATTAAAGCTGAAATTCTGCACTTTAACCACATTTGATAGACCTAAGTGTATAATAAAATTGTCATATTTAATTACAGTGGTAAGAAGAACAAAAGTGTAGGTGAGCTTTGGAAGAGCAGTAATGATCATTTAAAATGTCAGCGCTGTTAGAATTGTGGGGGGTTTTCTACTTTATTAATCAGGTTACAAATGACTGTGCAGCACAGGGCTCTGAAAGTGTTTTTGCACTTTGGAGTCATGTAAAGTGAAAAAACTCCAAAAATATTTCTCCCTGATAAAAATTTTGAAACACATCAAAAATATGTCACTACCAAATTCTCACTATTATTAGGAAGAAGTAATTACATACAGAGAGCGTGTGCTGTAATTGAACTCACATTAACAAATACACGTATTTTTTTCTCATTGAACTGGTTCCAATTCTCATTTAAATTGGAAATAACTTTAAATCTGAGAGCTTTTATTTTTACAGATGTTTTGTAATCAAAATAACTAATCAAATTCAAATCCTGCCTCTAGAATAGCTTAAAAACATGTCTTCATAACATTCAGAATCTAACCTTCAAAAACAGCCCAGGAACAGCTGAGCTGGGGACGGACGTCTGGTTTGTTTGGGAGATTGTGGCACAAGTTTGCACATGTCATAGAGGGATAAATGCCAGCATGTCAAAATGACCTTCCTAAGATACCAAAATATCCATTGTTTTAACAGTCAGGTATACTTTTATTGTACAAGTGAAAACATCAGAGGAACCAAAGGTTATGCTGTTGCACCTCACTGTCCATATTCTGCTCTCTGGTTGTCCCCCATGACAGCAAAAAGCATGCCTAGAGTAATGCCCGAGGTCATGGTCGAAGTCCAGGCTCAATCCTTAAAGAATCTCAGTGCAGAGTACATCAACAGTCTCTACAGAGCAAACATGTTCAACTGAATACAGGCAGTACTGCAGCTAACCTGTGTATAGCAAAAGCAAGATTCACATTCCCCCCCCAAATGCTAGGAATGTGGGGTTTTTTAAAAAAAATTGTCATCATTAGCTGAGAATATTTTTTAAAAATGCAATCTATGGGCATGTAATATTATGAGAGGAATATATAACATAATATATATTGCAGGATATTTTTATTTTTCAATTTAATTTATATTAAGTCAAGTCAGTCACTTGCTAATTAGTCATATCTGGCATTGAAGTATTGAAATACACAATATGCATAATGCCAGAAACAAATCTATTCAGAAATAGCAGTTAAAGTGCAGCTGCACTGACAGGAAAGGAAGACTGTGTTTCTTAATATTCTTTTCAAGATGTAGTATAAATATAATTTGCATCCTGCAAGATTCCTGAACTGTCTTGGTCCTGGTGAAGTTTATTTTAGAAACACAAATATTATCCGAGATCATCATCTCTGTTTGGGTTCTAACATTGTAAGAGTTAATAAGTTAATAAGAAAAATTATCCTTGAAGTTCTTTTTATTGATTCGGATTTTTATCAGCTGGGACGGAGCAGTTCTAATCAACTCAGTGTTAAAGACTATATAGTCATATACATTTGGCACCTTTGGAGCTGTACTGTTAGGGCAGTAGAACGCAGCCATTATCTGTATGATGTGAACTTTAATTTGCCATATAAGGTCACCAGATGTGCACCTGAAGAGAGCTGGTACAAACTTTAAAGGTGTTCTCTCTGTCTCAGAGGATTCCTCATTAGGCTCAAAGCAAAACACATCTTGGCTGGGGATTAGTCTGAAGGGAACGTGCCACAAAAGACTATTTATTTCTCATAATGGGAACACAGTGAAGTGCAGAAAATACATCACAAGCAGCCGCTGGCAGCAGGTAGGAACTGACACGAGGAACTTGGAGCTGTGTCGTTTTGAGGGTCAAATGAGGTTTTGTTTGGATCAGTTTTATTAATCTACCTGAAATTCAAAACCTGTATAATATGAAGATCTGAAACAGTCAAGTATATATAAGTGGTATCAGTGATGGGAGTTCATAGGGCTTTCATGATTTTTAAATCCGCTCCTCAGAGCCACCTCTTCCGCTCATCTTTCAAACTACTTTGAAATGTTGATTTTATTGATTCACTCATATTTAATTGTGCTTTGTGTTTTATTGATGCTTTTATTTTATTTATTTTTTTTTGTATTTTAGTTGTAGTGATTTTTATTCCTATGTTTAGCACTTTGGTCAGTGGTTGCAGTTTTTAAAGTGCTTCACAAATTCAGTTGGCTTGGCTCAAGATGAGTCTTTTTTTTTCAACAGACAAAATCATGAATATTTGAAGAAGTTGCCATTATGTGAAAAAAATATGTAAAGGTGGAGCTAGACATGAGATTTAAAGCTAAAACTGTAAAAACAGATAGTTCCACTGACCAATATGTGAACCCATTTCTGTGTTTGGACAAGTTTCTTCGATAGATTTATAGCTGTCATTAGGATGTCATTAAAAAGCAGGTCCATAAAGAGAACTTGTAAACATCTACAAAGCTTTATACACAGAGGCAGAGAACAGCTGACGACGGCAGTGTTTAGCAGCACATTGATTCTTCTGAAGCATACATTTTGTGTTAATAGGACTGTCTCAGGGACACTCATTCTCTATCATCCATCTCTTCTCCCACCATCTATTTGCCTCCCACTCTCACCCCCTAAGCACACACTGATTCTGTGGATGTGCTTTAAACTAATAATGAGTCCTTAGAGTTCTCTTCATCTGAAATATACTTATGGATTTTTAACTTTGTTCTTCTGTAACCATATTGAGATCTACATCGACTTTAGAACGTTGATCTATGTCAGCGAAAAAATGTGATTTTAACAATTTACCCTGCCATCACATGGGAAAGGAAAATTGCAAGCTCTTCTGACAGACAGTAATGTTTGGTATCTCTAATGGAGAAACAGTTTCCATTTCATGATTGTTTCTCAGAGAAACTTTAAAAGGTGACAGGCTTCAAACCCCAACCTACTTGTAGCTGTTGTTGTTTTTTCTTAGGAAAAAGGTTGGTTGACAACCTTACCCTTTCAGTCCCAGATAATATACAGTGCCAATCAGGTCATGGAATCAAAGATCAGCTACTGTTAACGTATTATGAAAACGTTTTTAAGCCTGCTACCTCCTCTTTTTGTCTTATACTTGTTCAGTTTCTGCAAATTCTTTTTAAGGACACCAGGCTAAGATACATAAATGTTTAAAGAAAATCTGTGAAAGACCTTCAGAAAACCTGGAGAATTGCTCAAGACTACTTTAAAAAAACATAAAAGGCAACTTAGAAGCAAAACACTAAGAAATGAGGGGTGATTCGAGTCTTCTGCACTATTTAAAGTACTGTTTAAAGTGTTGATATGCAAACTGGCAATGAGGTCAACTGTTAGCCCAGTAAAGTGAACCATGCTACTTAAATACAGGCCTCAGCAAAGGACTCAGTTGTTGGGCACTGCACTGTAGCTGACTGCTTCTCCTAAACATGTGGGATTTGTAAAACATAAACAATTTATTTGCCTACAACGATCAATAAAAGTCTAAATTCTTTTTGCACACGTTTTGACTTATTTATTCTTCCCTTTAAATTTCTTCTCTATTTATAACATTCCCTGCATCCTTTTGTTAAATCAATAAGCCTTTTGCGGATGCAGAATATTCCTCACACATTAGTCATGATCTTGAGGTTTTGAAGGAAACACACACAGAATAGCTGTGATCAGGTTTGAGAAAAGTATAGGCTGTAATTTATTGCTAAGTGGAATCCATAAACCATTTCCTTATATCGGAATGTGACAGGTGGATATTTATCACGGAGCCACACGTGTGCACACGTACCAACACACGCATACACAACCTCAGCTTTGGCATTCTGTAAAAACAAGCAAAGGTGCAGAGCTAGTCAGACACCCAGCTATGAAGTCAGAGAGCACATAAATTATGGTTCACATCCTCTCACTCACAAAACACAAACACACACATTCACAACATGTTTGATATAGCCTGCGGTGTTTTGGCTTTTTATGTAGGTAAGTTTTGTTATAACTGAAAGGGAGCGTTGCTACACTTTTCAGAGTTTAAAATCTGAAGATGGAAACAAAGAGACAGACAGATGGGTGTGCACAAATGTAATTAAACAGAGCGCGTGTGCGCGTGTGTGTGTGTATACCCGCTATCTGTAAAGAGGAACTCGAGGTGGGTCATGTAGACCTCCCACAGAGGAACACTGTAGCGCTTAGCCAGAGACAAAGCGATTCTGTACACACCATCATCCAGTGTCCTAAACACACAGGTACAAAAACAGAAAGAAAGAAAGTCTTTAGATTTCATTTAATTAAAGCAGAAATTGACATTATCTCCCACTCATGTCCAAGTGTGTGGTATGAACAATCTTTCAGAGTAGAAACAAAGAAAAGGAAAAAAGCGCACCTTTCCAATTATAGTGCAAATCCAAAAGTACCAACATTTAAGCCACACTTACTCTGTGAGACCAAGTATGGTCTCCTTCTTGTAATCAGCGTCAGAGCTGAACCGCTGAACGTCCACGCCACGGCCGAGCCCCTGCAACACCTGTGCCTGGGTAAAGTCTGTAAGACGCTCGTTGTACATATGCAGCTGGCTGATCAGCTTTTGCAGCTCCTCGGGCCAATCTGAATACGAGGACACGTGCTGTGTGACCAATCGAATCAGCTCCTTTGGATCAGCCTGTGAGAAAGAAAATAAATTTCACATTTTTACCCTCATGGTTCCAGGGGCTGCTTTAGACTTCAACAGTAGAAGAAGGAGTAGTGGTATACGAAAAAGTACGGGCACTGTGGGTCTCTTAGCAGTTTGGCTGCTTGGCTTTAATTTATGGTTTTTGCTGTATAATGGAGATGGTTTGTAGTTTTTCAATTTCTAATATTACATTACAGAAATTTATAGTTTCAACAGCTTGTGGAACCACCTTTAGCAGCAACAGCATGATGTAATTGTTTCCTGTATGACTTTATTGTTGTGGAAGAATTCTGGCCCACTCGTATTTACAACGTTGCTTCAGTTCATTGATGTTTTTGCACCGCTCTCTTACGGTCCTGCCACAGGAATTTATTTTCTTTTCATTTTTCCCTTCTTCTTTTCATCGTATCATATCGCTTCATAGCGCCACATCACAAGAGTCACCTCAAGGCCCCGTGAGCTAAAGACCCTACAATAACTGAGAGAAAACCCCAACAATCAGATGGCCTGCCATGAGTAAGCACTTGAGGATAATGGGAAAACTCCTTTTTAACAGGAACGCACCTTCAGTAGAAGCAGCCTCGGGAATTCAATTCAGTTTTATTAATATAGCACCAAATCACAACAGCAGTCACTTCAAGGCGCTTTATAGTTGAAGGTAAAGACCCTACAATAAGGAGGCAGCCATCTGCCACAACCGGTTGGGCGTAAGGGAGGTAGACGGGATAAAGGAAACAATGCGGAAGAGCGCCACATGTGGATGCTGAGTAGGCCATTGAAACTTACCAAACAAGCCATTCTTGTTCAGTCTTTTTCCAATTGTGCCTTTGCTTGTACGTCCACACCTGGGTATATTGTGGTATTGTACACCTGGCTGTTATTTATCTTAATTCCTATGGAAGCAACAATGATGTACTTCTTTTTCACAGGACTGCACAGAGTGCTTTAAAACCCTCTTTTTAACATGGCTGTATTTTATGCTTAAAATAAAAATGAAATTCACTCGAATGTCCAATTACCACAGATTGTTGTGCAAATTACTTTGAACTTCTGAACTTGTTCAGAAGTCATGCTTTGTATATAGCGCAACTTAACATAAAATCCAGCAAAGACAAACTGAGTCTCTCTTTTCTCCCCATAATTTGATTTGAAATAAAATTCTAGGGTGCACTATACGGTTTTAGAGCCATGTTGGACCAAACGCACACTGTTCTTGAAGCTCATCATTAAACAACACACTGAGCTTCAAACACTGCTGCACTGCATGGCGTATAAAACTTCACAGGTTTTCTGCTGCTTTGCTGTGAAAAAGTAATGAGGCTATTTTCAAAAATGGCAATCATTTAGAAAAAAGGTGGGGACAGACCAACTTGGTCCAGACTTATATCAATTTGCTTGGTACACCCCAGTAAAACCAAACAATTTCAAATATACACCTATTTCTATTCCACGTCGGGAGATTAAAGGTAAATGTATCAGGAACCGTAGCTGTCACCTTGATTCAGGCCAATAGGAAGTTAGATTGTGGCTACAACTGTCATATAAACAGGGGTGCACATAAGTGGTCCACAGGTGCGCATTCGCTGTCAAAATAAAAGACGCACACCAGATAAGAAGTTGCAATGCGCGTTTGCATACATAAGATTTTCTGGAGGAGGACAGACATTTGTTCAGAACTCTTAATCGGGCGATCGTGGCTCAAGAGTTGGGAGTTCGCCTTGTAATC